ATATGATTAAGTCAGGCTCTCTCACTAAACCTAGAGCTCAGATATATAGTTAGACTAGCTGGCCTAAAGCCCCTAGGGTCCCCCTGTCCCTGTCCCTTCGTCACTAGCATTATAGAAGTGTGCTACTGTGGTTGGCCTCTACACAGGTGCTGGGGATCTGAACGCGGGTCTGTATGCTTAAACAACAAGCACTTTACCCACCCAGCCATCTGCCTGGCCCCTGAATGCTCATTTTAAATTGCCTTTCTCCCATGACTCTAGAGTGGATGTAATACATGGAAAAAAAATGTATGGGCTCTGGGGTCAGGAGGTTCAGGGTTCACATTCAAATCTAACTTTGCCTGTAACCAGGTGTGTGATCCTGGGCAAGCCACAGGACCTCAATACACGGATCAAGATGTGCTCAGGGGCCTTGGGACGGAGCCAACACACCGTGGGAGAGGTGCGTCCCCTGTGCTAGCGAGGCTTGTGGCTGTGTGACTCACTGTAAATGGGTTTCCCTCCCACTGCAGCAGGAGTACACAGAAGGATGCTGGCCAGTCACCTCCTTCACGGAAGGAGGGAAGAAGCCGACGACGCTGGTGAGGTAGGCATTTTAAATCGCCTTTCTCCCAAACAAGGCATCAAGATTGATAGGAAAGACTCCAATGGGAGAGGAAGGCGGAAGAGCCCTCCTAGAGCGGCTCCAAATAAGGAATCAGTATCTGTGAAGGAAACAGGCCCAGGATCTCCAAGCATCCAAGCGGGCGGGCCTGTGTAGATGACATGCAGAAAATGGGGACTGCAGACTCATGAGAACGAGACTCTTGTGGTCCTGCCTGGCCTCTGAGCTTTGCACTCTTCCCAGCTCTCTGGATTACTTCCTTCTCAAGAGCCCCTCTCTTTCTCTATAAATGGTCGCTACATCTATCAATATCTGCATATCCCTGGTCTATTACTTTGTTCAATGACACAAGAACCCGAACATCTCAGAGGGTGCCCCTGGACTCTGAGCCACACCTCTCACGCTGGTACTTAATTTTCTCAAGGACTCTTGTGGACCCGGAGAATTCTTGGTATGTTGGAGCAAGGAGACACCTGCTCATGCAGCTTCTGGAATTATTTTCTGATTAATAGCCCTTCCGTGGCTTTTCATCTTTACTCTCAAGTTGTATCTGTGAGTGACATTTTTCGCCTTGACCCATCTTTACCCATTAGGGAGACGCTACAGTATGAATCGATTTCAAGGTTTTTGAACAAATAGCCATAAATATTTCAATCTTTGCTTCGCCTATTAGGGAAAATGCCGTCTAAGATAATTATTTTGCTTCTGCCTGGCAGGAAGATTTACACAGATGATAAAATTAGTTTAACCTTTGAGCAAATTCTGAAACCTTGAACCTATTTGGTTTTTCCCAAAACACTAACTATTCTTGGGGCCAAGTATGTCAGACGTGTGGAGGCTGGGGTGTGGAGGCTGGAGGAGAACTGGTGGCAACTGGTTTTCCCAGGCTGCATTGTCTACATTTTCAGTGAGAGTCAGCTGGACAGCGAGAGAAAGCTGGACACAGCTGTGGCTCCCAGGATGTCTCCTCTCCTGAGCTGTCAGCACTGAAGGCCAGGGAGCCCTGGAGGCATCACACTTGGCACAGTGAGTTTCTAGAATGTGAGCCGGTGCTGGGCATGGGCAGGTAATCACAGCATGGGGTGGGGGAGGGGGTCAGGAAGCCAGTGCTGGGCATGGTGGCCCTGCCTGAATCACAGCCTGGGGCAGGGGATGGGGGGGGGTCAGGAAGCCAGTGCTGGGCATGGTGGCCCTGCCTGAATCACAGCACAGGGCGGGGGAGGGGGTAAGAAGGAAGCAGCCTGGGTGTCCTAGTTACCTGTTTGGTTGTGGCCATAATACACCCTGACAAGAAGCAGCTTAGGGGAGAAAGGGTTTATTTTAGCAGAGTTCCAGGTTCCAGTCTGTCACTGTGGGGAAGTGGAGGCAGCAGGAACTTGAAACAGAGCCACACCCACCGTCAACAGCAGAGAATGGATGCCCGCATATCTTGGCTTGTCTTCTCCACTTTCATATAGTCCCAGGACCCAAACCTAGAGAACAGGACCACCCACCATGCATTGGGTCTTCCCACATCAACTAGCATAATCATGATAATCTTCATGGGCATGCCCACAGCACAAGCTGATCTAGACAATCCCTCATTGAGAAGCTCGTCTAGGGCAATGGTTCTCAACCTGTAGGTCACGAGCCCCAAACAGGGGTCATGTATCAGCTATTCTGTATATCAGATATTTACATTACAATTCATAACAGTATCAAAATTACAGTTCTGAAGTAGCAATGAAATAATTTTATGGTTGGGGGTCACTACAATATGAGGAACTGTGTTAAAGAGTCACAGCATTAGGAAGGTTGAGAACCACAGTCCTAGGGGATTCTAGATTGTGCCAAGTTGACAATTAAAAACTAAGCATCACACTGGACTATGCACAGGACCCTGTCCCAAGGAAACAGATAAGAACGCAGTCTGTGCACAGGAGCTACTGCGTAATGTAAGTGGTGTAGAGGTCTGGAGATGGTTTGAATGTGGGGTTGGTGCCTAATTTTAGCATTTCTTAGTAATTTAGCTTTAGATATATTTCTAAGGCCTTAGTCACTTCATGTGAAGGATGGCTTGATGCTAACCCCTCTCAAGGGATTTGCCTTGAGGACTAAGGTGTGAGGGGTGGTGGTAGGGTAGGGGCTGTGTTCCAGGTACCTGGTGCACAGTAGGCAATACACAGTGATTGCAAACTTTATTGCCGCTCATCAGAGAACTGAAGAATGGAGGCTTCAGAAACCAAGGTACCCACAGCACGTACACATTATTCTCTGTGTGTGAAGAGGCCCCAAATTCCCAAAGTATGCCTAGAACGTGCTTAAGTGTGTTTGGTAGTAGAAAGTGTCATCAAAATGAGTATGTGCAACTGAAGGTATTCCTCCGCTAAAGATGTCCAGGTTCAAATCCTCAAAACCTGTGAATATAATCTTCCATAGTAAGGACTTTTCAGATGCAACTTGAGGTCTAGAGATGTGGAGATGAATCTAGACAATTTGAGGGATGTGATAATCACAGGAGCTGTTGTGGGAAGAGGAGGGTTGGAGTTGGAAAAGTCACAGTGATCAGAAGATGCTGTTGCTTCGAGGAAGGTGGAAGAAAACACTATGAGCCAAGGCATAGACGCTTCTACAAGCCAAGGTAAACAGTTTGCAGAAGTAGGAAAAGTTGAATGGTCTACCCTAATATGGCCCCTATTATGTATACAAACCATGGAACCAACCATGCTTTTTTAACCCCATCAACTGCATCTTCCTAGATTAGAATCCTAATACCATGTGGTCAGAATCCTCATCACTCTGAGGATGCTAAGAAGCCACGATGGTGACTACCTTCTCATTCAACATTTACAGTTAGAATGTATATACAAGTAAAAAACTCCAGAAAGATTGATACTGAACTTTGAACATTAGAACTTTGCATTAACATTTTGTATGTATGTATGTATGTATGTATGTATGTATGTATGTATGTGTGGCACTAGGTTGCTAGGTTGAGCCCAGGGCTTGTGCATGCTAGACAGGCATTTTAACATCGACCTACACCCTAAGCCCCTAAATTGACACAAACTACAAGTTCATGGTTGTAGGTTACAGTAGCAATAGGACATTCTTATAATGAACAGGAGAAAAAAAAAATCACTCAAATGGACAAAGCTTAACTATATAGACAATCTCATCTTTAAGTGTCATCCCTGATGAGAACAGATAGTTCGGGTGTTGTAGACATGAGAAGCCATGGGTTTGACCAGCAAAGGCCTGGTCTTAATGGAAAGGAAGTTCAAAGCCACCTTCATCCCTAGACACACTGCTGCCACCCTTTGTCATCAAGCATCCTGGCATCCGGTGGGATCCTACCCAGAGTCCTCTCCATACCTGTTAGCCAGTAGGAGCATTCAGAAAGCATACTGCAGTCAAGGCTGTCATTTTTACTCTACCATCTCTTTATTATCCACATTTGGATATGTGATTATGTAAGTTCATAGCATGGCTGGAGGCAGCAATGACTGGGTCCCCCAGGAAGGAGATCCTAATCAGTTACATATCAAGAAAACATCACCCTTGGCCATGTGAATTCCTGCAGCCAGCTAGATGGCTCAGTAGGTAAGGCTTTTGCTGCCAAGACTGATGACCCAAATTCTACCCCTGGGCTCCACATGGTGGAAGGAGAGGTCTGACCCCCTTCCTCTCTGACTTCTATATGGGTGCCATGATCATGTGCATACACAAGGAAATGTAATTTAAAAATTGAATTTATAATGAAAGTCTGTTGTAGGCTATATCACAAAGAAAAGCTCAGCTTCCCTGAGGAGTACTGACTCTCACCAGGGCAACAGCATGTGGCAGTGGAAGGGTCTCTGGCTATATTCTCATGTCACTTCTTGTCACTGACTTGCTTGAAGAAAGTGGGGAGGGCACAGAGATTAAGAACTTCCTGCAGAGCCCCTGCAGCCTATAGATAACAGCCAAGCTTAGAGCTCACATTGATCTGGCTTCTGAGCTTATCTTTCTTACCTCCCTTGTTATCTAAGATCAACTCATGGGTACTAGGTCCTCATCACGCTAAGTATGCTAAGAACCAGGATGGTGACTACCTTCTTACTCAATATTTACAGGCAGACTGTAGTATATACAAGCAAATCCCCCCAATTCCAGTGTCTCTGAAATTATTATGACCACAGGCATATATGGTAAACAGTTTATCATGTGACTGTCTCACAGGTACACAGAACAAAACCAGAAGTTCGGTGAACTAGAACATGGCCTTGCTAGGTGAGATGGACACGCCTGTTTCTTTTCCCTGTTTGAGTATGGTTTGTCTGCTTTAGTTTACTCTGTGGTCATGGCCCACACACAACCTTGTATTCTCTGGAGGGCATGTGTCTGTAAATTGAAAACAACAACTGGGGACCCTTACCTCTGGGGCAATGTAATCAGGAGTCCCACAGAAGGTCCTAGTCGTGACTCCATCCATCATGTGCTCCTTGCACATGCCAAAATCAGCGATCTTGATATGTCCTTCTGAATCCAGCATGACATTGTCCAGCTTCAGATCCCTGCAAGGAAGCAGGTGAATGTCAGGGGCCATCCCAGGACATGACTTAATTTGCTTGCAGCTGGTAAAATAGAAGGATGTTTGCCTCGCCGCCATCTCAGTGGCACTCATGTGGTAAGTCCCTGGAGACCAGACACCAAGGAATTACTGTGTCTTTCTTTCTCCAGAGCCTGGGATATGGTAGGTATTTAAATGCCAAGTGAATGATAAAGGGTTGAATTACTGATTCCCAATCATATCTGTGGCTACAAATCCAGGGATTCCAAATGATCAGGTTTGGGGTGATACCAGGCATTTGATTTATTAATATCCCACACAGAAGTGGGGACACAGACACACAGCTAGGTTTCCCAAGTGACAGGTTTAGAGCTACCTTCCATGTATCCGCTATCCTGCCTGAGCCAATGTCTTCTTAATTATTCAAGATACTTTCTTTTTTGATACAATATTTTCACCGAAACCCCAAAGCATTAATTCAGTAGCTTGCTTTCCTCTCTCCCCAGCTCCCATGTCCTTCTCCTGCTGAGTATCTAGAATGGCAGTCTACTTTCTGCCGCTCTCTGTCCTCCATTCAAATAAAAGGCAGAGGAAGGCGCTGCCAGCGGAGCGGAAAATGTGACAAGCTGAAAGGAGACGAGAAATCAAAAAGCGGCAGCTCTCGTTTGCCCGAGGCTACAGAGGAGGAAGGGGCTCAGCAAGTCTCAAGTCCCCATCACAGGATCAGTCCCCTGCCCACAGAGGCTGCAGGAAGAGCTCTAGGACACACCTGTAAATGATTCCTCTTTTGTGAAGGAAGAACAGTCCAATGGAGATCTCCGCTGCATAGAATCTGCAAAAGAAAGTGTGCTTCAGACATCTGGCTTTGGGAGCTTTCTGGATACTTCTTTGACTCAAGTGTGGGCATCAGAGAGATGAGAGATGAGAGATGAGAGATGGGAGATGGAGGGAGAGAGAGGGAGAGGGGGAGAGAGAGAGAGAGAGAGAGAGAGAGAGAGAGAGAGAACCTAGAGCTCTCTGAGATCACCCTGCACATGTGCTTTCCACACCTGGCTCTGCTTGTCTCTCCATCACGCCAATGAGACAGACTTATTTTTCTTGACTGTGGAAAGTGAGCAGCTCATTTACTCCCTACACATTAATTTCTAATATAACAGTTTAAGGAGTGAATACTTGTGAGACTCTTCTGTGTCAGGAGTGTGGTTGCGTGGGAAAAGTTTCGATTCTCTAACACGTGGATGAAGCAGGTTTGGTGTTTGAGAATGCATCCACTCCCCAAAGACAAAGCCGTGCTGCTGAATGCATTAGCTGCTTTACTCCTTAGCCAAGTGCCCAATGGAATAAATGGAGCACGTGCCATGATTCATGCTTGAGTTTGTCCTTTTAAATAATTCATAATAAAAACAGTCATTACCATCACTTCAAAATCATTAATAGTTTAATATCTGGAACTCAGATTAAATGCAGAACAATGTTTTAAAATCTGCATAGCACTGGGGAGCCTTTGAAGTCCAAGGAGCCACAAGTCCACACGGGGTAAATACATTCCTGGAGGCTTAAACTAAACACAATGGCTGCAGTGGGACCACCTCTTGGGGCTGGCAGGGGAGGCTGGGACAGGGCGGGGGAGAGAGGAGAGAGGATCACAGGTGATTTTTGTGTTATTTTTCACATTTCCTACATTCTTAACTTTTCTGCAGCACAAGCAGAATGGTATCAGATGAGGTGCCATCCAGGAGCTTGGTAACACAAGGTGGCCGTCTTGCTACCTCTACTTTTCTGGCTCTGGGCTTCCGAGCTTTATTTTACAATGCGAGTATCTTAATGCTCTGTGATGTATAAAGAAGGGATAAAGGCAGGTGTAAAAATGCATTTGCTTCTTAGTAGAAATAAAAGCAGAAAAAGCCCCCTTGATATTTTTTAAAGCTTGCGATTAAAGAGCTCCCTGTCTGCCTCCAGTTAATCTTTCTAGAGCAGATTATCCCACATAGGCCCTGGATTCCTCTGACTATGTTTCATATCGCACACGGGCCCCAATCCCATTTCCATTTGCTGACTAATGGGTCAGGCCCACTCTCCCTCTGCATCTAGGTATGGAAAACAGCTCTCTGTTCAGTTTGCTTCTGTTCAAGTTGCAGTCGCCCTGGATGTGAGACGGGTGATGGTGTGGGAGTCCATGTCCCCTCCTCCACCCACTTCCACCTGGGGTCCATTTCTCTGCCCTTGCATTCCCCCTGCAGGTAAGGAGCGTCCCAGCGTGAGGCTCCGAGAGAAGCTTCTGAGTCTTCCCTTGGGGTCCTCACCCCAGCCTGAGGATGTCACTTAAAGAGGTTTCCTTCTCTTGCCCAGTTCACCACCTTTTGCTCTTCCTCTTATAGAATGTACGTTAAAGATAAAGGCCTATTCCAGCTCCAGTTCTTCCCTGCAGGTTCCCACAGGGCCCCTTGCACCAGCCCCGTCTTCTTTCCTCAGCCAGTGGGCTCTGGGAGACCTTCCATGGGATCAGGCCCTTCCCTCTGCTATCCTCCTCAGCTGCTCTCCCAGCAGACTCTCCATCCATCCACCCAGCCCTCCCCACCTCACATCGCACGAACTGCAGGCCACTGCCTGGACTCGGCTCCCCATCTCTTCTTATCCTTCTCTTGGAAGGTGCCCCTCACCTCTGGGGTGGGTATTCCCCAGCTATGTGCTGCGCCCACTCTCCAGTTCTGGGGTACCAGTGGTACCCTCTGCACACTTGTGCTCCAGTTCTGGGGTATTAGTGGTACCCTCTGCACACTTGTGCTCCAATTGTGGGGTATTAGTGGTACCCTCTGCACA